CAAAAAAGGAATTTTTATGTGCTTTTTACCTTTCCTTGTTGGATAAAATAAAAGTCGGTGGGGACTCTTGCTTACCGCGACATTTTGCAAAAACAACACAAAATGCAAAACCAGCAAATTCCTTAAAAAAGGGAAACACGTCCCGGTTCTGGCCACCGTATCACACGGTGTCATTTCTCTGATATGTAACACTCGGGGGGATGAACGTTTGCTGATTTTTGATCGTTTATTTTCAGTTGTTGAATTTTAAATTGATTAGTATTAAATATGAGATGTTTTTCGAAGTTGCTGAATTGTTAGAGATGTTATTAAGAATTCCACTGCGTAGATGTTGATTTATTTGATTAAAGATGTTATGTTGCCGGTTCATCCGATGTTTGAAAAAGTGTTATCCACGATGAATGCAATGAATTTGTTAGAAAACTTTGTGACGTCCCGATTCATTTGAATGATTGAAATTTTATAACTATGATTTGTCTTGCATAATTGCTTGGGTAGAATTGGGGTGTTACACCTTCCACCTTTGAGTGTACTCTTTGAAGGACTCTTCCTTCTTCTGGGATAAGTTCTGGAGTTGTGTGCAGGTTGGTGCCATGTCCAAGTTGTATTTGTACTACTTTAAGAATTCATTGGCAAGATCTGCCAATGTTTTTATATGCATCCTTTCCAACTGCATATACCAATTTAGTGATTCCCCACTCAAATTGTCCTGGAAATAATGAATCATTAACTTCTGGTTCTGAGCATAGGCATGCATTTTCCTACAGTACATGCGCAAGTGGTTTCTCGGACAAGTGATCCCTTTATATCTTCCAAAGTCTGGTACTTTGAATTTCAGCGAGATTATTACATTCGGAATGAGACCCATCTCGAGGGCATCGACGTCAAAAGCATCATACCTTTCCACGACTTTCAACCTTTGTTCTAGAGCTTTGTATTGGTCCAATGCCAACGTGTTTTCAACAGCAGGGCATTGGTAACTTTCTGCGGTGCCTGATTAATATCCTCAAAATCGTGATCTCTATATTCTAAGTCCAAGTAATTGTCAGTATGATTAACCGGAATTTGTAGGGTATGAGATGCCCCTGCCTTTGGTGGAGGTGGGATAAACCCCTCAGATTCTTATCTTGTCTTGTGTTGAGCCATGGCAGATTTCTGTGGCCCTGTTTCTGGGTTTTTTTCCAGTTGGTGACCGCCCGATGCGCCAATAGCTTGGGTTATTTCTTCAAAAGCTACTCTGGGAATCTGTTCTTGTCTATCAATGATGTTCTTCAAAGCTAGAAGAATATGGCTCATGTCTCCCCTCATTATTTCAATGTTGCTTTTAACTTGTTCCAAATCCAACTTGAAAGCTGCTTGATTCTCTTCTATTTGTTCTAGTTGGTGAGCTCTTGTTTGATACTGCAGCCAAGGAAGTGGTGGTTTCCTTCCACCAATGGTTCAACTAGAGAATATTTTTGAGTGGAAAATTTATGCGATGTAATGTTTTTATGAGTGCATGATTATGTATGCAGGATGTTAAAATTTATGTTTTGCATGTCTTATTCACCTGGGCATATATATTCTTTTTATAATATCGTGTGTGTATATATATATATATATATATATATATATATATATATATATATATATATATATATATATATATATATATATATTAGGTTTTGTTTTGTTTTTATTTGGTGAGTATTTGAAAAATGAATACACAAACAAGCTAGGAAACATAATGATTTTATTGAAACGCTAATCGTCTTTAAAAGATAATACATTTCAGATACTGAAAAATATTACAATTCTAAAACAGTAAACTTGCTGGAAAGGAAATAAGCAAAAGGAAAACAATTTTCTAAGCACGTTTGTGAAGGTATTTTCTGAAATGACCCACCATCGTCCTGCATAGCTCTAGAAAATTGTCAACGTCCTCTGGGAGAGGGACCATTATACTTTTTGCGTTCTTAAAGCTTTTGGGAATGTCTTCGATAATGTTGTTGGCCAAGAACACAACTTCTCATGCTTATCCTTGTAGTATCGGTACTCCTGGTAGAGGTTAGGAATTATCTTATGGTTATCCCTTCTTGCTTGGGCAATATTTGTATATTGCTCTTCCCAATACATCTTTTCATCTCTCAGCTCCATATAGAGTCTTCGCTGTATTAGGAAGTCCTTTCGGAGGCCCTCCAGCTCGAGGCATACTTGCTCATACTCATCATTTTTCTGGGCCAGATGTCTTTTTGACCTTATTTTCACAAGGAGCTCTCTGACTTCTGACTCTTGGCTATCCTGAAGCCTGGTAGTAAGGTATTTAAATTATTCTTCTTGGTATAAAGATACTTGGGCCAAGCTTTGGATCTTATATCTCAACTCTTCTTCTAGTACTTTCTTTTCCTGCACCACTTTTTCATACCATCTATTTAACTTTCCGATTTCATTGGCAGCATCTTCCAGCCTCTGATTATGGGAATCCAGATTAAGGGTAGAACTTAACAGCCCTTCGGTTGAATGCTTCTGTTTCAAACTTTCATTTTCAAATGCTCTGCGTTCCTTTTTGAATATGTTGGTCTTTTGATTCGAGTATGCGCTGCATTTATCTCTTCTCTTTGGTCAAATTAAAAAGATTGAGCTCTAACTCTTCCTTCTCCCTCTGAGCCTGCTTCAGTGCTTTTTTCAAATCATCTACCTCTTCTAAAGACATAGGAGGAGTGACGGGGACCTTTTGCTTATATTCAGGATCTATATCAAAAGGAAGTTTGATAATTTACACCCTGTTTATAACCCATTTAGTGTATGGTTCTTTGGCCACTGCATTTTTTCTTTCTGCTTTTCTTTTGTTAACTCTACTCCAAGACCGAATGATTTTGTTGAGTAGCTCGCAGTCATTTCTACCCATGTCATGGATGATCAATTAGTGGAGTTGCTCGTCCAAAGGTTTGTCTTCCAGAGGATACCCTAGTTGTCGTAGGGCCAAGGTGGGAATGTAATTGATGCATCCTTGTGACCCAATTAGTGGGACATTAGAAAAAAACCCACAACTATAGACAATATCACTGATATCTAACTTCTTGGCATACCACAACACAGAGCTAACAGTGAGAGACCTTAACTTCTGAGGCTATTCATACCTTTTCATATTTGGGAGTAAGTAATCTTCCTTCTAAAGGTGAGTCATAAAACAGGAGTATAACAAAGGAATACAACAATTTATGGTACCTCTCTTCTTCTCATATCGTGTATGAATGGCGTAGTAGATATTAGCAAGAAGAGCTGGAGTGGGATCTATATTAAAAGTATTTGTACCCAAAAATACACTGATGGTTGCAGGGTCAATATATTCTATAGTGTGCGGAAATAAGACAACACCAAATATAAGCAGCCCAAGACAGTCAACACAAGATTCCCATTCTTTGTTATTTTCCAAATCAAGAGCTTTACTCTCCAGATAACACCTTTTAATCCCTCACACTTCTCCTTCTTTCTTATAATTAAGAGAAAACTCAGGATAATGGATTCCCTAACCTTCGGCAAATATTTTGACATCAATCGTTTGTCCAATACCCATATAAGCTTTCTCATTGGAGAAGTTCAGAATTCTATATAATTCCTCTAAGGTCGGAGCTAACTAGAAATCTTGAAATGTGAAACATCTCAACGGAGGATAATAGAACTGTACTAGAGCAGAAATAACGTCCAACTGCACTTCGACTTTGGTTAAATCCAAAATATCCCCATAGCGACGAGTAAATGTTTTCATGGCCCTTTCAGATAACCTTTCCTTTACAACTTTGATTTGAGTCACATATAGCTTGGCAGCATTGACACGAACGAGCTGTTTTCCTTTAGCATTCATTTCCAGATACTCACAAGAAAACCTTTACTCATTTTTTATATATTCCTTTGTACCCTGTCAATAAGACAAACAAAATCAAACGATGTATGATGAACATGTGAAATGTAGAGATGCATAAATATATGAGTAAAAGGTTAAACGATGGGATTTAGTGAATAGTAACTTTTAGAAGGTAGGCTCTTAGCATGGTTTTATGGATACCTTACCCTCCCCATAAGTTGGTTTCCTTCGTGGTATCATGAATAACAATAAAGGGAAAGGCATCAGGGCCACCCTTAAGCGGAGTCTCTTTGCAGACCGAAACTTTTGTCCTTAGGCCGTGAAAGGTCTCATCATGAGATTTTAGTTTGAGGTTTATACAAAGAGCCATAGGCGTCATTCCAAAGTCCTACTTCCCAAGAGGATGTCTCTTGAGAAGTACTTCTTTTGTCGAATTCCATCGATTCTAGACGAAGTCATCATATAAACTCATAGGGATGATGTATCCCTTTGGCTAATAGACGAACCTTCTTTTAAGGTTTATTTAAAAATATTTTTCAAAATTTAAAATCCCGCCATTGACATATCAATATAATGAATAATAAGAATAATCAAGAAAATAAATAAATAACTAAATAAAATAAATAAACGATAATTAACCAAATATAAGAAACCCAAAAATAAGAAACCCTTAAAAACCCTAAAACTGAAGGACAAGTCTTCTAAACCTAGGGTTGAGTCCCCAGCAGAGTCTCCAGCTATTGCAACTGGTTTTTAAATCAGAGTCGCCACCCTTAATTTTTATCCTCAAGGAAGGGAGTATAAGGAATAACCCTAACAAATTTCAGAGATTCTAGATTTGGAGTCGGTTCTAGACGAAGGAAAGGTGTTAGACACCCTTCATCTACCTTGTTCACAAGGATATTGGGTTTAGAAGCGCGGTGTTTTAGGAAATAGGGTTTTAATTACTTATTTGGGAAAAGGGTTTGAATTTTAGTTAGCGGGACTCACCACGATTTTAATCATATGCCTACGTATCCCCTTAGGAGGAATCAGAGTCCCATTTTGTAGTTTGCATACCTGGCTACCAACAATTTTATCATCACATAGAAATATGTCACAAAAAAAATACTTACTCTGCCCATTTCCTCCTCCCAGTTGTGTTGAAGACTGAGTAATGGAAATATGTGGAATTCTCAAACACATAGAGAATATAGATTGTTTTCCAATTGCGAAGCTATCGTCACAGGTAAGTTAATGTTTGTTGTTAACTAAGTTTTTTTTTTAATATTTGTTAAAAAAAATTCAACTAGATCCATCATGTACTATTTTTTGGTATTTTTTTTATTTGCAGTCCAATCCTGAAATTGATCCCAGGTTTGTAAAATTCTATGGAGATGAAATAACAAAAAGTTGGACCGTATTGAACAACCAAGGTGTCCACCATGAACCAATAATTAACAAAGTCTCCATACATCCTCTCGTTATAAGTGGTTGGTCCTGTTTGGAAGCTTATTACAATTTACCAAAAGAAGTTGTAGCTACGGTTATTATTACATATTCAAGTGTATCAGAACAAAAATCCTACAATTTATCATAACCAATAACTTGCAGTTTACACATTACATAACATCACATGATTGTAACTTGGTATTTTGGTTTATTGTCTCTACTAAAGACCTATGATTTCAAATAATTATACTTGTTAGTGAAAATACTTATAAACTATAACGTACAATTAATATATTATGAATAAAGAATATATTTTTATATTTGTTAATTTTTCCATATACCTTCTTCACGATCGATTCGAATAACATGCACAACATCTCTGTCAACTTCATTATATGAGGTAGGAACTTATGTTGTGTAAGAAGGTGGGGACAAAATATCAAGACTTTCTTCATTAAGAGGAACGTGTTTTCCGTGGATAACGATTGAACATTTCATCGATATGTCCGATGAGTCGTAACATAGAAAACTTGTTTTGCTTGAGAAGCCATGATGAATGGTTCGGTCATAAAATATGCCTTACCAAGGTCGACCCGAGTGAATCCTAAGTCATCAATGTGTACAACATTATTATTATTGGGAATCCACTTGCATTTAAATAAAGCCACTTTGAAAATAACATAATCAATATCCCAAATCTCATGAATGACACCATAAAACTTGGTAGTTGCCAATACGGGATTCTTATCTTTCGATCTAGAGAAATACATTGATTTGGCTTCAACCATAACCCCATAATTTTGCATTGTACTATGGTCATCTTTTGATTTTGTATAAAAGGTATAATGACCAATGTCGTATGCAGTTCAAGTAATGACACAAAATTTTGACTTGTGCGACAATCATTTAAGTATCTCGAATGCACTACGATCATTAGATAAACTTTTATTAAACTAATTTATGAATCTTTTGTTATGCTATATCAACAACAACTTGTCAATAATCCGGGGATATTTTTTCCTCAAAAGTCTTTTGTGAGTATCTGTGAAAGGTTGAACTTCATTTATATTTTATTTAATATATAGAAATGTGCTTGAATAACTACATTCTGATCCATTGAATTAATATTTAGACCTTGAATACCTCTTCCATATGTGTCAGCATGACGAGACTTTGGAATTCCTATAGAATCTACGTCCGACAAATAGTTTGTATAAAACTCAACAACTTGTTTTGTGATGTACCTTAGAACAATCAAAGCTTCCGGTCGATGATGATTCTTCGTATATACTTTAATAATCTTCATATATCTCCCTATTGGATACTGTCATAACCGGCAAAAAAATAGAGAGTCGCGACTAATAATTTTTTATCCTAGGAAAGGGAATTTAATAAATAACCCTAATTTGGTAGAGATTCTAAGTTTGCGAGTTTGGTTAGACGAATGGAAGGTGTTAGACACCCTTCATCTCCCTTGTTCTCAAGGGGTTCCATTTTTAGGTCTAGGGTAAATCGGGAATTTGATAGTCAGGGTTTCTAAATATCACGTATTTTGGAAAGGGGTTTTAATTTTTAATTAGGGGACTCGCTTTGATTTTTAAGTCGCGTGCCTACGTATCCTCTTATGAGGAATCAAAGTTCTAATTCATAGTTCATAGTGTTTGGTTAGTTTTTTTATGGATCGTGGAAATGTTTGAAATTAATCCTTGAACCAAGTCTGGGTTTGAAATAGGCAGAATCGTAGACATGGTTCACATTTAACATAAAAGATCTCCACAATCCTTTTAGAAAATATCTTGAATTTAAATTTAGGTTAGTAGAAAAAAGATGTTAGTGTTTGATTGGTTATCGGTCTTCGATCTTTGATGATTTACTGAGGAGCAAGACGTCGTGGACTTTATCTTTATTAATTCCTCGATCTTGGATGATGAATGCAAGGAAAAGGATGTGCTTCAACCTTTGCTTAGATTGACTTGATTTTCCTGAGGTTTTGAATGCATCATTGAATTAAGACTACCCTGCCCCTGGTTAAAATTAAGGGTTTTTAGAGGAATAGAAAAAACACCAACTCCTGGCTCAAGGGGGTTAACTACGGATTAAATCCTTATTTCTCCACTCTTTAGGAATTGAAACAATTTTGTTACATCGTCAGCTCAGTCTTACCATTGAAATCATTGTTTAGCAAAATTCAGTTATTTAATTTTCGTCATTCTTCCTCAAAGTTTGTTAAAGGTGAAAGATGAAATGGAAAAGTCGTTGATTATATATGGAAAGTGATGAAAGAGTAAAACAAATGGATTGATTTCAAAAACATGCATGCTCATTTTATTAGAATTAGTGATCTAAAGATACAAGTTTACACCAAATATAACTTAGCAACATAGAAATTACAATTTTAAATTGATAAAGTCTAATGATGCTAGAGATGAGCTTTTTTTTGTTGATCCACTGACTTTAGGAGATATACTTCTTAGTTATTGGACTTGTAGATGTATGGTGATCTTTGAATCTTCTTAGGCATACCAATTTTTTTGATAGGGAAGTGGCTCTTGTTGATATTGTTGCCTTTGATATGGAGGAATCACCAATGGTAGTTGCATTCGAGGCATTATAGGCCTTTGGATTATATGAAGAAGGGTTACCTTCTCTCCTAAATATGATTTGTAGGACCAAGTTCATTTGAGTTTCCAATAGTTAATCTCCTCTCCCTAAGTTTTAGGCTTTCTTGAATTCCATACGAGTCTCGGGAAATCAGCTAGCACAGACAATTGGATCATTGAAAAAGTGGACAAGATATATAAATGTATAACTCTATGAATGAGAGAGCATGCATGTGATTACTAGTTAGCAATCCACCCACATGGCCTGTTGAAGGCCATGTGTCACAAGCAAAGGGACGCTTGGAGGATTAATTACAAACATAAAGAAACCCCTTAAGGGCTATGGATAACGGCATACAGAATAGTAGACCTACAGGCTATGGATTATGACATAGAAAGGAAAACCCTTATAGGCCAGGGCTAATGAAAGAACTAAGGAATCTTAAACGGGTTTAGAAGTAGCTTAAACCTAATGAAATTCCTACGGGCTATAGATTAAGACAGACATACAAAAATCCCTATAGGCTAGGAATCATGATAGACCAATGGGAGTTGAGATGAAGGTTTGACTCGAGGGAATAGAGTGGAAGAGAGCACAACGTGACCGGTTAAAAGTCATCAGATCATATGGCCTGATAGAGGCCACGTGGCGTGCATCAGCGAAGACGTACTACGTGGGAAGGTTCCATATGAGGAACAAGATCCTATAAAGATTTTGAGGATAATGACAGACAAAAGGGGATCCCTACATGCTAGGGATTTTGACTCAAAAGAAAACCCTACGGGTTAAACCAAAGAATACCCTTACGAGTTTAGGGTATAATAATGATAAGGGGTAACCCTATGTAGGTTTAAAGTTATAAAAGAATGTCCTCCGCAGGAAGGCTTCCTATGAAGGATATGATGACAATAGTTTCCTTGGTACGTAGGTTTCTAGTTTTGTCCTACGCATATTCTACCCTCCCTAAAGGTGGTTTACTCAAGGGTATCATGGATGAAACCAATGGTAAAGGCATAACGGCCTCCCTTAGGAGAAGCCTCGTTGTAGACTGAAACTTTCGTCTCATAGGTCGTACAAGATTTCACCATGAGATTTTGTTTTAGGGTTATAAAGAGAGTCATAAGTTTAATTCCAAAGTCCTACCCCCAAAGAGTCTAGCCCTTTGAGAGATATTTCTTTTTAGGAATTCCACCGACTCTAGGCGATGTTGTCGCAAAAACTCATACGGATGATAAATCTCCTTGGCCAATTGACAATACATCTTTCTAAGGTTTGATACTTTTTTTTTTTAAAATTAAAATCCCACCGCAATAAAATAGTATGATAATAAAAAAATAAGCAAAAATATAAATGAACAAAGTATAAATGAACAATATATAAACAAATATAGAAATAAAAATTCCCAAAATAGAAATAAAAACCCTATCAAAACCCTAAACCTAAAAAAAGGAAAAAGGAAAAACCCTAGGATTGTGTGTCCTCGGCAGAGTCGCCAGCTATCGTAACCGGCAAAAAAATAGAGATTCGCCACTATTAATTTTTATCCTTGTGAAGGGAATTTAATAGATAATCCTAATTTGGTAGAGATTCTAAGTTTGCATGTTTAGTTAGACGAAGGAAAGGTGTTAGGAACCCTTCATCTCCCTTATTCTCAAGGGACTCCATTTTTAGATCTAGGATAAATCGAGAATTTGATAGTTAGGGTTTCTAAATATCGCGTATTTTGGAAAGGGGTTTTAATTTTTAATTAGGGGACTCACCTTGGTTTTTAAGTCGCGTGCCTATATATCCTCTTATGGAGAATCAGAGTTCCAATTGGTAGTTCGTAGTGTTTGGTTAGTTTTTTTATGGATTATGGAAATGTTTGAAATTAATCCTTGAACCAAGTCTGAATTTGAAATTGGCGAAATCATAGACGCGGTTTGCATTTGACATTAAAGTTCTCCACAATCCTTTTTGAAAATATCTTGAATTTGAATTTAGGTTAGTAGAAAAAAGATGTTAGTGTTTGATTGGTTAATTGTCTTTGATCTATGTAATGCAATATGAAAAAGATAAAATTTGAATGATAAAAAATATTTAATAATTAGAAAAAACAGGGTTAGTATTTTAGAAAGTAATTAATTAATAAATACTTTCTTATTATTAAAGATATATTAAATATTTTTAATAAATGATCCAATAATTATTTATTAATGCAAAAATGTTTAAATGCAAAATGATATGCTAAAAAAATGATTATGTGACAATAAAAATTAAATAAAGAAAAGAAAATAAATAAATTAAATTAAACAAATAATATTTATTAATCAAAAAGGGTGTGCCAAAATTAGAACTAGATGGTGTATTAGCAACTATTTAGGCCCAAAGTAATTTTGAACCCAAATAGCAGGGGGTGCAAACTATAATTTGATAGCAAAACTGGGGTTTGAAGATATTAAGCGTCCAAGTTCAGAAATTGAACTTGGCCCAATTTGCCCAGGAGGGGATGTATATTGCCTAGGGTAGTAATTTCTAGGGCATGAGTAGCAATGAATTTGAGGTTTA